GAGAAACAACGCCCCTGCTTCAGTCAACAACCAATGGAACTAAACTACACATTGAAGCAACAAGAAGGCATAGTGCACCACGGCCGCTTCCTGCAGCTGCCTTCAACGATTCCGAATCATACGATCGTTATTATAAAATGCGGATTCAACCTTCTAGCAGCAGACAAATCGATAAAGCATCAAATGTACTTCCTGTTCTTTCGCCAAGTGCGAGGTCTCCCACGTCGACCCTGACCAGGGATGTTCCGGCTCGATCCGAAGAGCCTCTGGCGGCAGTTGACGTGGGCTACTCATCCCCCCGGGCAAGTACCCACACATCTCTAGTACCTTACGATCAATCATACCCCATCGTTCTCTCCAACAATCTAGGAATCTACGGCAATACCGACGCATCAACTCACCACGAACGATCAAATACACAAAACGACGACAGTAGCAGCAGCTCCCCCGCTGACGAGCGCAGCATGAAGATGCTGTTCTTTCAATGGAATATCCGCGGTTTGTGGTGTAATCATTCAGAACTACGACATCTTGTACTCCAGAACCCTCCTATTGCTATTGGTTTGCAAGAGATGATGTGCAAAGATGCAAACAGAGCCCTCCAAAAGCAATATACTTGGAATCTTGCTAATAGACATTATAATCAAGGCGCTGGTGCAGCAGGGCTCGGAATCCTAAACGGAGTTCCCCATCACATTATTAACACAAGCTCTCAAATTCCTGTGTGCGCTGCCCGTCTGCATAGTCCTTTCAACATTACTATAGTGTCTATCTACATTCCACCGAACAGCGATGACGCAGACATCATTAACACTCTCGATGACATTACAACCAACATGGAACCACCCTATATCATTGGCGGTGATTTCAACGCTACTCATGAGGCCTGGGGCAGCCCCAAGTCAACACGCAGAGGCCTAAGACTACTAAGCTGGTTTGTCGATAATCAACTAGTGGTCATCAACAACGGAGAACCCACATTTATAAGCCCTTCCCATGGCAATGCATCTTGGATAGATCTAACGGTGGTTTCAAGAAATCTCGCGAGCAAATTGAATTGGTCGATCGCAAATGATACACATGGCAGCGACCACTTTCCTATCAAAGTATACTCCCAAGACCGAGTCTCCGAAACAGGACACCGCAGACGCTGGCTATACAAGAACGCCGATTGGGCCCGATTCGAGAATACCATTATTGATTCCTTGAAATCAGACACAGACCTCTCAATTGACCAGATAAGTGATGTTATCATTGAAGGCGCTGAAGCTTCTATACCAAAAACATCTAGCCGACCCTCCACGAAAGCAGAAATCTGGTGGACTGACGAAGTAAAAGTTGCAGTCAAGTCACGTCGGAAAGCACTACGTAACCTGAAGCGAACCTCAGCAACAGATCCCAATATGGAAGAAACCCGGAAAAAATTTCAACAAGCTCGGATTGCTGCCAGGAAAGTGGTTGCAGAAGCTAAACTCAAATCATGGAATGCTTTCTGCCAAAGTTTCAACCCACATACGTCAGCCGACATCCTTTGGAACAACTTCAATAAACTATGTGGCAAAAGGAAAACAGGACAAAGAGGCTTGGCGATAGACGATAAACACGAACAGGATCCTGCAGTCATCGCTGAACAATTCGCAAATTACTTCCAGGAAGCATCAACAACAACAACTCCTGATTTGGATGGTACACCAGACAACGAGGACACGGATTCAGGTTTAGAGACCGAGGAAGATGTCGCTATGAACGCAGACTTCACAATTCAAGAACTTCTACGAGCCATCGACTCGGCTAAAGGGTACTCTACTGGCAGCGACAACGTTGGATATCCAATGATTCGCCATCTCCCTATCACTGGCGAACTGGCGATGCCCGAGCAGGAGAAAATAACTAATGAATACCTAATTCTGATCTGAAAACAAAATTTGGTATTGACCAGCATGACATAAGAGGTAAAATACCAAAGAATAATACCAAAAAATTACATGGAAAATACTTTGTAAATACCAAAAATTGATATTTGAATACCAAAAACATACCTGGGTGGTATTGTTTTGGTATTGCATTATCATAATTTGGTATTGGACTTGTATTGTGGGAACATTTTTTTGGTATTATTTTTTGGTATTTTACCTCTTATGTCAGGCTCATCCATACCAATTTAAGGTATAGAGATATTCGTTCCTGCTCGGGTGTTACGATGTTTCAACCGTATCTGGGCCGAGGGTAAGTTCCCACAACGCTGGAGAGAAGGTGTAGTAATACCTATACCAAAACCTGGCACTTCACAAAGCTCTGTCGAAAACTACCGTCCCTTCACGCTCCTGAGCTGTATTGGTAAGATATACGAACGCATGGTGAACCATCGGTTAATATCATTCCTTGAAGACAATAATATCCTACATCCCAACCAGCATGCCTTTCGAGCTGGTCGAGGAACGTCAACATACTTTGCCGAGCTAAGAGAAATCTTAGAAAAGGCCAAACGCTCAAAAACCCACCTGGAATTCGCACTACTGGACATTCGGAAGGCATATGATCAAACTTGGCGCCCACATATATTAAATCAACTTAATCAACTCAATGTTGGGCGCCGTGTTAAAATTTGTATCACTGAATTCCTTAAAAATCGACGATTTTGTGTCAGCTACGGTGGTTCATATTCATCAAAGAAAACTCAAGACAATGGCGTCCCTCAAGGCTCGGTACTACAAGTAACGTTATTTTTACTAGCCATGAATACAGTATTTAAAGTTGTGCCTAAGAAGATCCGCATTCTAGTGTACGCTGACGACATTGTTCTGGTTGCATCGTCAAAACAACTACCAACGGTACGTCGACATCTTTCGAATGCTGTTGACGCGGTGAATACATGGGCAAAATCTGTAAATTTTTCTCTATCGGCCTCCAAATCATGTCTTCTACACGTCTGCCAAAGATCCAGACACAGATGGGCTAACTCGAGAACAGCGATAGTTATTGATGGTGAAAACATACCAGAGGTCAACGTTGCTCGCTTCCTGGGAGTATGGATTAACAAGAAAGGCCAGTTTACCATTCTTGGCGCAAAAACAAAAGAAATCCTTCGCAATCGAATAAACTTCATCAAGGCTTTGGCACCGAGAGCAAGCAGGTCCTCCCTATGGAAAATTACAAACGCTGTGTGTATGTCAAAGCTAACATACAGTATTGAATTATTTGGAACAGAACTTACCAGTCTACTGCAGCCCATTTTCAATCAGTTGATGACAGTCTCATCTGGAGCTTTTCGATCCTCCCCCATCCTTAGCTTGTCCGTTGAAGCTGGCGAACTCCCACTAGATTTACGACTAGCCGAATTGTTCATACGCAAATATTGTCGATTAGCAGAAAAAAGCAACCACGAATACCCACACTTCCGTAGAGCTGCAAACACTATACTCTTTAATATTTGTGGAGAAAACATCCCAACTATAGCCAAACTTCAACGCGTTGGTTGCCGTCCCTGGAATCTTCCTCGTACCAAGGTGGATTGGACCATCAAGAGGGCCTTCAAAAAGGGACAGAACACGAATAACGCCAGGATCATCACTCGAGAGCGCCTCAGCACCAAATATTGCGAGTACACCAAAATTTATACGGATGGATCAAAAACCTATAACGAAGTTGGCATTGGAGTCATCGGACCCGGCATTCTTGTCGAAAGAAGCCTTCAACCTTAATGCAGCATCTATACTGCAGAATCTGCAGCCATCTTAGCCGCTGCGCATTACGCTCCTAGGACACCCACAGTAATCTATTGTTAGACTCTTCCAGTTCCGTCGCTGCCCTCGATAGCGGCGAACTTCATCATCCGTTTTTACAAGCATTCGAAAAAGTAGCTGCAAAAAAGACATTGTGGTTGCTGGCTGCCTGGTCACTCAGGAATTCCAGGAAACGAAAAAGCAGACCAAGCAGCAGAACGAGGATGGACTGCTAGAACGTTTTCCCGATCAGTTCCTGCATCTGATGTTTCGCAATGGATCCAAGGACTTTTCCGTCGAAGGTTTTCAGAACAATGGATCCTTCCTTCAGAAATGTAAGCCATCGGTTGAAAAATGGACGGACAGGGACGACCGACGAGAACAACGAATTTTAACCCGGCTTCGCATAGGACATACATGGCTGACGAAGAAACATCTATTCGATAGAATCAGTTCCCCCAATTGCGAAGTATGTAACTCTGAACTCTCCGTTGAGCATATACTGCTTGATTGTATAAAATTTGATCATATCAGGGAAGAAATAGGATTAAGTAACAACCTTCATATTATTCTAAGCAACACGAAAGAAAACGAGACAAAATTACTGAAATTCATAAGAAAATGTAAACTGTTCAATGCACTATAAGAATTATAAACTACAGTATTAATCAGAGGCGAATGAACCTTCAGGTTTAAAACCTCTATAATAAAAAAAAAATATTTGTCCTTAATAAACGTTTAGTCACAGACAAACAGACATAATGTTTATCACTGAAAAACACCGTCACTAAAACATTATCGCCATCTGTTGAGTATACTATCATGGGTAGCACGCTCAAAAGATGGCGCTAGTATTTAAACGTAAAACGCCTAGGCAGTTGACTATGAGCGCCACAGGTGGCGATGTTACCATCAAAGAAAACATGAAACTGACCGTTAATTGCTTAGTCGATGAAAAACATGCGAGAGTTATGTCTGTTTGGCTGTGACAAAGCCGACACGACCTTATACAACACTATAGGCAAAACAAAAGTTTGATGTGTTAATCCCCATAATCCCAACCAAGCTAAGCTGGAAACCCTACCTGGAGGAAGCTATATGAAGCATCGCATCCCCGCCCCGTACCGCACAGCAGCCGACAACATCCACTTTCCTTGGTTTGGTGGCGATGCGATGATACCACCGGTGTGTGATAAGCCAGGGAGGGAAAAAAGAGCACAAAGAATTTGCGAATAAATTAGATCGAAAAGTGTGATACTCCTTCAGTTTGCCGGTAACCGTAGAACCGAGCGGAACGTGTCTCCTGTATAGGACCATCCCGAAGTCGAGCGAGCGGAAGAAAGTCACCCATGTGTTGTTGCAGTTGCACTTGTTCGATGAGCCCGCGAGCGTGGCAAGCCGGTTAAAGAAAAAAAGCAAACGTGCGCGCGAAAAACTTGTGTCAAGTCGAGTGTAGGGCGAGAAACCCTTACGCGAACGTGACGTGGGACAGGTTGCAGAGAAAAAAATAAAAAAGTCCCGAAGAAAAATTCATAATTCATGAATTAATTAGAAAAAAGTTCTTCTGGTGAACATGACTTCCATCAAGTGGCAACTGCAGTGGCATCCCCGGCAGATAGTGCTTGTTGGAGCGGTCCTCTTCATCGTCAGTGTCACCCACCACCACGATGTATCATGTTTCAGTGAGTTTCCCAAACAACCCCGCCCACCGTTGACACTTAATCCACCTGCTATAACCCATCCCCCTTCAGACGTCAACGTTAAGTGGGACCCGGGAAAGGGGAATACTTATCACAAGCGCAGTCGGATATTTAAATTGATGGATGGCTTTTCGGTCTAATTAATGGTACCACACCAGCTGCATCCTTGCCGACGATGTCGTCGTCGTCATCATCAGTGTCTCCACGTTGTCCTTAGAACGTTTCTTCTTCTTGTGATCTGCCTTTGGGCATTTTGAAGCCCCCTTCCTTGCCATCTCAATTAATTTGTTCCACCCCAACGAAACGAACGGTTGAGGTGCAGCAAATTGTCCGGACATGGACTCTGCTAAATACGGGCCCATCATCATCAGCCGGCAGCTTGGGAGCGATCGGGTGTTTGAGTAATTAAGTTTTGGGGTGAAAATTGTAATTACGAAGATTTAACCCGGCTGGTTGAGGAAATGTGCTCGCATTTTCACTTTGTATCAACGACCGTAATATAGATTCAAACGAAACAAGTTGTAAGCCCAGGAGGATAAAGCCGGAGTGGTTGGTTTCCGTCAGAGAACAACACAAACAGAAAGACGTTCAGTGTGCGTGCGGAGTGTCGTGAGAGAACTGCTCTTCGAATCAGGTGGAAAAGAAGGAGACGCATGGTTATGTATTGTTCCCCAGAGATCAACGTCGTTGCTTTTTGTTCCGGAGGTGACAATGTGTGTTTCACTTTCGGTTGATTAATTTCAGTGTCATAAACGGTATATGCAGTAGAATATATCGATCGGATATAGGTACGAAGAAATATTGTCTCTATGGGATTGTGTAAAGCATACTATTGATCACTGGCAGGTGCAGAAATCTCCACAGCACTATGGGAATGAATTTAAAGTTTCGCGATAAAATGTTATTTAAGGTTAGGCAGAGATCGAGTAAGGGATTGTAGACTGTATATTCATTTTCTATTTAACGGAAAAATTTACGGCGATCAGCAGGAGTTAGATTTGTTATTCTTTTCAACAAGTCCTTAATATCGGTGCCAAATTCTAAGAAATAAATAAGCAATATATTTTTGGCATTCGTTAATTTTTACACGAATATAATTGCCAATGAATCTCATAAAATGAACAGAAGTTTATTGATAAAATAAAATTGATTGTTACAGTTTTCAAAACTGCAACTATTCACTTTCAACATTTAAGAACTTTGATGATCATTAAGCAAAATCACAATTTTTCATGAACTTAAGTTCAGCTTTTCTTAAAAAAAAATCATGAAGCTTCAAAGTCATTATCATGGATGTCCTGAATCTTTCAAAAGAACCCCAGGGCATTCATGTGATAATTTTAAAAATTTCTTCAAATACTACAAATTATTTAAGAAGAATTTGTAAAGTACTAAGCTCAATTTCATGAACTGACCACTTCATGAAAAATTCGTAGAAAAAGGAACTTGGAAAAGTTCTGAAAACTGCGTAGGAGTAGAGAATTCATTTAAATTTGAGGGGCTTCGTAGAAGTTAAAGGAACATTATTTTATTTTAGGGAAGCTCATTATTGATCGGGAACCTCTACATAATTTCAGTTTTTTTAGCCTCATGGACTTGGAATAGTTGTGGAAATTCAACAGCAAACTTTGTAGAAGATTTTCGATTTTCGTAGCATTTTGAGGAGCTGCGTAAAACTTCATATAAGTGTAAGGAATTTTGAAAAAAGTTCAGGGAATTTTTTAAAAGATCTAAAAATAGTTCAATAAACTTCTAAGAACTTCAGGGACCTTCGCTTCAGTTTAGGGAACTTCGTTGCAGTTTTTCAGAGATCTTACTCCAAAAAAGCTCCATGAACTGCTTGGAGGTTTTGGGAACTTCGCTAAATTCAAGAAACTTTCTAGGTGTTCAAGAATATTTGTAGATGTCTTAGGCGTCTTTTAACTTCTAGATGTTCAGAGATCTCTTTAGAATTTAAAGAAATGGAAAAACATATGGAATTTGGAATAAATTCAGGGAACTTCGTAGAAGTTGAGGAAATTTTGTAAACCAAAGTTTTGTAGATGTTCAGGAAACGTCCTAGACATCAGGAAATATTCGTAAGATCTCCATATAGTCCAAGATATTAGTAAAGTTCACTGGATATTTGGTAGGTTGTAGGTTGATCAGGATGTATTCAAAAGTTTTCCAGCTAATGGAATCAGATGGAATCTTGAATGATGAATCTTGATTTTATGGCCATATTTGTACATTCTCTATAGGGAAGACCCGTGAATTGGTGTTTTAGCTATATTGTCACAAATTTGCACTCCAGCAGCTAAATTCCTTTCTTTTCGATGAATTGTATGCCCGCAAATCAGCTGCCGGATAGTTTGCATGGATCAGCACATAAAAAATTCTATTCTTTTTGCGTGTAATTTTTGATTAAATAAATCACCTGAAAAAACTCTTTCATGTATTTTTATTTTTTTATTTATTTTTTTTTATTTTACTAGTCTTCGAACTGATCGTACAGACAGATATTGCTATTCACTAATCCTATTTCTGAACATTGTCTTAGATATATTAAAATCAAAAACACAATCATGCATGTTTCGAGTTCATTCCTTTCGATTAGAAATATAGTTAAATCTTGATTTTGTTAGTTAGTTCTAAAATTTAAAAAAAAAATGTTCTAGATAAATGCTTTATTACTTTTTTTCACTTCAAATGTCAAAAACATGACATTCAAAATCCGGTATCTTAAAACCCTGATAAAATTAAATTATAACCTGATTATTCACAATTTTTGCCACATGTCAAGATTTTTCGAAATTTTTGATTCCTAATTTTTTCTTACTTTCTTATCTTGAACAATTTTTCTCTCGAGAATTGCTGTGAGTCTCAGAATCTAGGTAAGTTTCCTAAGATCTTGAATTACGAATTTTGAAAACCAGGAACTTGTCGAAGCCTATGATTTTTTTTTTAAATCCAATAAATTTATTTTGAACAAAATTTCGTCCACATTTTTTTAGAAGGCACATTTATTTTGTGGAGTTTTTTGATTAACATACAAACATACAATTACTATTTAAATTCTTATTTGTTTTTAATGTTATTGTAATAGAATTTTGATGAAATGACTGTCCAGGAAAAGGATATTGCAATTTTATTATAGTCTTATAATTGATCTCAATTCGTTGACTTTTATTAACATTTGTATTTAAAGATATTATGCTTACAATTTGTATCAGAGATATCCTTTTTTATTAGTTACAAAATCTTGCAAACATATGGGTTTGGGATTACAAAACTATTTTTATTGTAACATTAACAATGTTAAGAATTGTGCACCTGCAGCATATGCATGTACGCAATTAGTGGATTTGTTAGTTATTTCGACGCTTTTAAACAATGCTTGACATTTCCCATTTTTTTAAATAATTGCGTAGAAATATTTCTGATCGATTGGTGATAAAATTATTGAAATTGGTCCAGGAGTAGCTGAGTTATTAACGTTCAAAATCTTTCATAATTTCGTTACATGTTCCATTTTCAGTTTTCACAAAGTGTACCCCCATATTTAAATCACCGACGTAGTCCTACGTCAAAAAATTGTGCATCTCGGACATTTTCCTACGTCCAATTCGCACTTTGTCTGAAATTTGACTGATATATTCAAAATAAAAAAAAATCTAGTTACAAAATTCATGAAATTACCTAACCCTGAGAATTTTCTTAAGTTTGAGATGCTTAAATTTACAAGATCTGGACTGTGATTTTATTACAAAAAAAACATGAACAATCGATCATTGCTTGTTCAAAATCAGTAAGCGTTTAAGGCTCTTCCAATCAAGGTCCTAATCGTTTTTATGGAATAAATATAATCAAATTTATTGTTTCACCATTAAAACAATGGTAAGCCTCAATGTCATATTATTGGTCACAGAAAAAAATGTACCCAAAAATAAATTGCCTTGGACGCAATTTGAGTGATTGCAGTTTGCAAAATTAAAAAATGCAGCAGGCTCCCCTTCGGCCCCCTCCAGATTAATTTTCTAGCTACGCCAATGCTGATCACATCCATTTTGACCGCATTTCTCCTTCCGTTTGATGCTCAGAGTTTCATAGTAACGTTTAATCACACGACTCACCGTTGACTGCACGATTCCGAGTTGTTTTCCGATGTCCCGATGAGAGATTTGAGGATCTTCGAGGTGCTTTTGCGACGTTGCTTTTCGGGTGACGCCATTTTTTCATCGTTCGAAAAACTGACAGCGATAAAAATACAGTGTAAACAATACACTCTAAACTACTTCTACCCAAATTTCCAAGAGAAAATACCCAATGGGTAATTTTCTACTGCGTTTTTTTCCGCGATGCAATTTGATGTGGGATTCCCTTTAGAAGATATTAGCTACAACTTTTGGCACTAACTGAAATCTGTATCTCTTATGCATGACGAAAAATAGCGGGCAGAACTTGTAATTGTTTTTCAGTGAATGTGAATTCATATTCACTGAAAAAAAAAATGGTGGGTTCTGTTCGCTCTGGCAGGGATGGAAAATCATTTACATTCATTTCGTGCATTCATTTACATTCATTTTCCTCTAACTTTTGTCATGAACAGAATTCCGTAAAATAGTGTTTAAAGCTTTTGTAGGTCTTGATATTAACTACATCTTTTGTGAACAACTCAAATCGGTATCTCTTATGCATGATGAATCAGTGCGATAAGAAGCCACCATTGTTTTTCAGTGAATGTAAATTACATTCACTGAAAAACAATAACATGTTCTGCTAGCTCTAGTTCATCATGCATAAGAGATTCAAATTTTAGTTATTCACAAAAGTTACAAAGTTAATAGTTAATATCAGAAGCTACAAAGTCTTCATACATCATTTAACGGTAATCTGTTGATGAAAAAAGTTACAGGCAAATGAATGTAAATGAATGCACGAAATGAATGTAAATGATTTTCCATCCATGCGCTCTGGTTCATCATGCATAAGATAAACTGATT